CTGAAAAAAATTTAAGTCAATTTGATAAGATAATTGTTAAGAAATTAATTTTAAAGTTATTTTAAATTTTTAATAAAACTTGTAAAATTACTATGTTTTTACTAAATAAATGTCTAGTTATACAACGCATATAATTTTCAAATATAGTAAAATTACTTTAAAATTAATTTCTCAACAACTATCTTAGTAAATTGACTCAATTTTTTTTTAATAATATAAAAATGTTTAAAGTTTAATTCTGTTAATTTTTAAAACTTTTAGATGTAATTTTAATTTTTATAAATTTCTAATTAAATTCAATTAGTTTTTAACATAAAAAATTGCCAAAAAATAGAAAAAAACTCTTTTTGCTTATTACTTGTACACAAAATTTTATCCAAAATAATTTTCACTTTTTCTTATTTTATACAAAATTTTACTAAGTTAACAACCTGTTGTCACTTAATAACAATTGTTCAGCTATTGTTTTACATATATTTATAAAATTTCAAGTCTTTATCTCTTATCATTCTTGAGATATTTAATTTACAAGGACAGGCAGACAAAACTCTGTCTTCTTCCCGAAGTTTTGCCCCTCTTGGCAAACTGAGCTTAATAATATACTGATACCTCATAATTGAATTTGCAGAGCTCATCTCTCTGGCTTCAAAACAAGCTATAGTACATCAAATTTGACCTAAAATTGATTATTTTAGGACTCAAAATATCAAAACTCTCTTTTTTACTCTCTAAATTCTTAAAAAAGTTCCTTCCTAGTTTACCCCTATCCAAATCGTTTTTTGTGTAATATCTGGACCTGTTTTTCCAATTTGTTTACACCTGACTACATTGGCAACATAATCAATCCTTTTTGGGTAATCCATTTTACAATTAACTTACACAAATTAACTACTGCATTTATTAATTGTGCAATGGCTCAAACATAGTTTGATGTGGTTGGATTTGTATTACCAGGTTTTTGTTAATTTTGGTAATTTTGATTTACAAATTATTTACATTAGTACATAATTTGGGTACATTGTAATTAAGTCTTCTATTGTTGCTTGGCAAACATATTTTGAGTTTGTCAAAGGTTGTACTTTAATTATGCCAAATGTTTGGTCAATAGGATCTTCATCTTGTATAATTCTAAATCTGAATATTTGGATTTTATTCTGTTGTACGCTGAAGGCGTATCAAATAATCGTTTGAGTGTAGGTATGGATCCTAATGTTGCAGCTATTGAAGGTTGTTGTAATTTGTCAAATATTATGGTATATCTTCTTTTAGAGTAATTTTTAGTTTTTTGTTCTACTTGGTGTTTAATATTGTTAAGTTTGGATACTTCCTTTACAAGTTCTTTTTTGTAAATTTTTAGTTGGTAAATGTCTTTTGGGGTTATTGCTTCATATTGTTTATGTATTAAGAGGTCTACTTGTTTGTATATTAATTTTGGTAGGTTGAGTTCTTTGAATTGAGATTCGTCTTCGGAGTCTAATTTTTTTTCTTTATCATGCTTTAGTTGCATTAGCATGTCGTAGTTTTCTATTAAATAAAATATGCTGTTGAGTCAGTGATGGTAAATGACCTGGTCATTTGCAAATTTCTCAAATAACCTCAAATGACCCTGAAATGACTGGTCATTCTTGGTCATTTGAATTTTAGGTCATTTGAAAATGACTCATGACCAAATGACCATGGTTATTTGCAAATGACTGGGGTCATTTGAAGGTCATTTGGTCATTAGGTCATTGTGCATATAATGTTCGCCAATTTTCTATATCGATAAACTTACAATAATGCCGAATACATGTACTATGCAAATAGAAATCAGAACAATGTAACAAATTGTTCGATTATTATTATCTTCAGAGCTTATCATAAAAGCTTATTAATACGTAATATAAATATAAAGTATTCGATGTCTATCGCTATATAGAAAACTCAATATCAAACATTTCACTCTACAAAATTAATTGACATTTCCAGATGGTAATTTCACACTGACTTAATGAAGATACTTGAATCAAGTTATATGCTATGGCTTTTTCATGAGGTTACGATTTTAATCAGCGTGTTGGCTCAAATTAAATTAATGACATTTTTTGAACCTTATAAAAATTGTATAGTTAAAGAATCAATAGAACATTAGCAAATCTAGTTAGTAATATAAAAAAAAAAAAAAAGGAAAAAATAAATAAATAAAAAACAGATAAAAAAAGACAAAATAAAAAAAATAAAATAAAAAGAGTTGTCTGATAGCGATAGTTAAACAAGGAGATAATTACATGGATGGAAAAAGAACTTGTGCTTCATTAACATCTGGGGTATCTTATAAATATGGTATCACAAATTCTGTAATTTTTTTTTCTCACGAAATTACGATGGGTAAGAAGGAATATAATTTCTGGGAATTTTTTTATTTGGCTGCGCCTGAAAATAAAAGAGCAAACAAAAAGGCGGTTTGCCTTTCAAGTATACAAACATATACTTTACCTGTTGCTATAACAAAACCTGAATGGTTTGTTTCTAATAAAGCGAAACTATGTCGAAGCCATCTTCGAAGGTGTCCAAATTTTAATGAACAGTATAATGCAGATAAAATTATAGAGATTCTTTCTCAATCAGTACCTGAAGACTCAAAAAAAAAAATAAAGGTAAATATATTAAACATTGTATATCATTTTACAATACTTTAATAACTTACATTAATAGTAGCAGGAAAGGATGATTCTGATTCAGAGGATGAACTTTCTACTATGATTTCTGAGACTTCAACATCCAATTTACTTTCTACAAATAAATCCATTTCGTCAACTAGTAAATCTGCACCACTAAAAATAAAACAGCAAGTACCCTTTAACAACTACATTGCACACCAACTATCCAACAAGGATAATTAGCACTTTGAAAATCTTTCATTACGTATGATCGTATCAAATGGTCTTCCTTTTACTTTTATAGAAAACCAAGAAACCCAAGATGTCTTTAAATTTATTATGCTAACATTAAAGTTGCCTAATCGACGAGCGATAAGTGATCGAATTCTTCCAAAAGCTTCAACAATATTAATTAAAGAAATTTTACAGCATGCACGAGCAGACAAGGTTGGAGTAACTGCAGCCTTTGATGGCTGGACAAATATAAAGCAGGAGCACCTTTTTGGCGTCGTTTTGATAACTTCTCAGGGTGAAGCTTTAGTCTGGAATGCACGCAATATTAGTAATCAACAATCAAGAACTGAAGATGTAAAACTTTTAATTAAAAATAGAATGGATAATACAGAAATGGAGGGTATAAAAATTAACTGCTATGTATCAGATTCGGCTGGTGAATATGCTGCCGCGAGGTTAGTAGTATTTAGCATTTATTATAGGGATGTTATCCTGCTTGAAAATGCTAAATCTGCTTAATGAAATTTGCTTATTATTACTATGATTACTTTTTGATATGTGACTAATTAAACTTATTAATAATGCTCTTAAGAACATACTTTACTAATGGCAGTTAGTAATTTAAAATAGTATTATTTGAAACTCAATTATGCAACTGGTTCGTCTTAAAACTGCTTGAAAGCAATTACTTACTTCGAGTATGATTTTTTAATTTTTTGCTACTAACTAAACCCATTACTAGTGTCTTTTCAAACAAAATTACTTGTTAGAAAAAATTAATCCAATCTATTTTTAACAAGTTATTTATATTACACGAAGCAGGATAACATCTCTAATTTATTAATTTGCTTAATTATATATACTTTAATTTTTTTAATAGACGACAGCTAAGAATCGAATATCCTAATAAGGTTTTCATACCTTGTATGACACATCAAATGAACTTAGTCATCGGAGATATTTTCAAAGAGTCTAACATATATAAAAAGGCATTAAAAAATGCTATACATGTTGTAAGCTATTTTCACTCATTACCATATTTTACCGGATTGCTACAAGATGAGCAAAGATCATGTTATAAACAATTTATCTCTCTCCTTACACTGGCTGAGACATGCTGGAACAGCATTTATTTTTGCTTTCATTCCATATTAAAAACTGAAGCTGCACTTAAAGTATTTATTATTGATAAGACTCTTGATATAATTTTAATATATAGAAATTCATTTTATTATTTAGGTTGATATTAATGAGGTTAATGTTAACATAGGTCAAGAGTATAACAATACTAATATATAATTATTTTTATTTATTCTATATGATCAGACACTCCAACAAAATTTTCTTCAACAAGAATTGGTGCAATTAGCACATCGCGAAGTGGACAATCACGACAATGATTTGTATTAGAAAATACTAATATAAGCAAGGCACTTCCACCTGACATTACAACTATCATACAAAATTTCAACTTTTGGAATCAGCTTTACGATCTTTAAGATTTGCTATTCCCTTTGTGCTGCATATTTAATAAACTTCAAAAAGACGTTGCAAGGCTATATGAAGTTTTACACTGTTTTTTGGTGGCTTGTTAAGGTCTTTGCAAACCATAAAGATAATAATTTTTCAAATCATATGGTAAATCACTTAGAACATTGATTGTCCCAATGGGAACAACCTCTACTTCTATTATTATTCGTTTTGCATTCAAAATATCAGCTTTTAAAGTTTTCTTCCTGTGCCTCTGATCTCTTCTATTCACATTTTGGTCAATGGCTGAATTATTATTATCATTTATGGTTTGGAAAAGCACCAACACGTATCTTGCGTGAATTTTTATCATATCAGAGAGAAGCATTTCCTTTTAATAAAGAAACCTATAATCAATTTGAAAATATGATAGATTTTTGGAAATCAGCAGAGAGTTTTGCACCAGAATTGACTCATCTGGCTTTACAATTATTTGGAATATGTGTTAATTCGGCTTCTGTTGAACAGTTATGGTCAATGATGGGTTTTTTATATACAAAACGACGAAACCGTTTGCCAGTATGTATAAATATTATCCAAATTTTAAATCCACATAACTAACTTAAAATTCATTTTAAGCATGAAAAGGTGTTGTCAATGAGCCAACTACGCAGTGACATACTAAGCAAAGGAAAACGTAATAATATTGAACAATCTGAATGACAATTTAAAAGAATTCACATCGCAGCCCCTATCCTACCTTGCAATAATGAAGATGCACCACAAGAATTAGAAGATTCGTTCGTAAATAATAACAATAAAGTCAGCTCACCAACTTCTAACAATTCAACAATTGAATCTAACAATCTGTCAATTGAACAAAGTGAAGCAACTAAAGCAGTTGAGACTACTGAAATGACTGGCGGAGAAATAATTGATGATTCTGAAACTTCTGACGATGACGACGAAGAGAATTGGTCAAATATAATTGAGAGCTGGGTTGACATATTAGACCTTGAAAATCAGTTAGAAAATGGTAAAATTGTAGATAATGAACCGCCTGAATTTGAGTTTTGTGGGCATATTATTCACCTCGCAGATGATCCGTCGGCCAAATGGAATTTGTCAGAATTATTTGATAGTTCATTAGATGCACCTATTTCCTTTGTTTTTTAGTAATCACTAAGATTTAAAGAATGAATTAAAATTTATACTACACATTTGCTTTATAAAAAAATTATGAGGTTTCAAAAAAATTACTATCTAATATTCTGAATCGTGATTGATCTACATGAATATAGCAGCGAAACAAATAAAACATTAAGACATTTCTTGATTCAACAATTTGAAGTTATTATTAAGTAAGCTATATAATATTCTTATCTATAATTTTATAATTTGACATATTTAGAAGGTTAAATGTACTAATTAAATAATTTTTTAACGATAGAATCATTTTTTGACCTGTAGTCTCTTATGAATTTCTTTTGAAGAATTAGCAGATTGTCTTGAAACTTATTTAATCAAAGACGGTTTATTTGCTCTCATTTTTTTCAAATACTGTATTTTAAAAGTTTACAATAAATTTTTATTGTGTACTGATACAGAAACAATATGTAATATTATAGTCACACTGAATAAGAGAAATGGCTAATTATATAAAAGAGCTTTTTATGATCTTCGAATAAGATTATTGAGCTAAAGATTTTTTTAAAATTGATTGTTTATTTACATCGATCAACAAAATAAGATTTTAAATTAGAGATAGACGATTGTTAATATGCATTATTACTTATTATTAACCAATATTACTACAAAATTTTGTACGTTATGATAGTAATAGATAAATAAGGAAGGCTATAGTATTTCCTAATTAGATCTTAAATTATATCATCGTGAATTGTAACAATAATATACAAAATAGGTAGGGCCCATCTCTCGACTAGCTCATGCTAACATTCCCGAATTACAGTAAACAATTAGAAAAAGTACAATTATATAAATTATATATAATTTGGGCCAGAATATAATTATGTACTTAAAGTGTGTGTGCACTTATAGGAGGTTTTACTAGTAAATTATTGGGTTGTAGCCAATCATTATTTCCACCAATAAAATTCAAATAATCTATTAGGTCATTTGGATTTTGAAATGACCAAATGACTAGTCATTTGTCATTTGAGTTATTTGGGTTATTTCAGGTCATTTACCATCACTGTGTTGAGTTGTATTTGTAATTCGGGTGTAGGTATTATGTTATTGATTATTTCTGCTTTAGTGAAGTAGCTTCAGTCGGAATGGGTTTCTGGTTCCATTCGCATTGCAGTTTGATTAAATGAAGGGTGTACGTATGTTTTTATTTCTGCAGTTACTTTGTTGTTCCATCCTTATGGATTTCCAAATAGATAGTAGTTATAGCCTACTTCTAATAATTTTTCTTGGTAAAGTAATATTCCAGTTTCTTCAAAAGTTTCTCGTATTATTATTTCTTCAAATGTTTCTTCAGGGTTATCTTGTTTTCCTCCAGGTAGGTTGTATCAGGAGTAATACTTTTTATCAGAATTTATTCGTTGTGATAAATATATTACTGGTAATTCTTGTGTATTCCAGTCAAATATTGCTATTTGTGCAAATTTAATAGTTCCAGGTAGGATTATATTTTGGTGTTTTTCCATTTCAAAGGTCGTGAGATGGTGGTATTCCATCTAGTAATTGAAATGTGTAAAATCTATGATTTTCTTCTGAATTTATATCACAGCGGTTATGTGCTTCTAATCCATGGTTCCAGGATAGATATTGTGTTTCTTGTATTAATACATTGTAGTATATAGTATCTATTTTAGTTATATATCCTTTCGTTATTTCAGGTATTTGTTCATTGAATATATTATTCAGTTCTTCAAATAATATTTCTTCTAGGTACCGTGTATGAGCACGTTCTCTATTTTCTTGTTTTGTATAAATTTTATCAAATATTACTTTTTGCTTATTTTTAATTTTTATAATTCTTTTTGTAAGGTTGAATACTTCAATAGATTCTTCTAAATTATCTATTGTTAGGTAATTATTGTGTTTTACTCTGAATTGTTGAGCGTATAAATTTCTTTGGGTTTTATAATAATCTATGACTTCTTTTACTTGTTGTTGTAGTTTCGATTTTTTAGTGTAATATATTGAATTGTATTTTTGTCTTTCAGGTTTATCTGTTCTTAATATTTCTTCTTTGATTTTTATCCAATGATATTCGTCATATAATATTTTAGTTCAAATATTAAGCTATTTCCTATTAGGTTATTTTTATGTAATACTTTTGTTTCAGGTGATCGTAGAGAGTATAATTCTGAGTAATATTCCAAATTTTCAATTGAATATTTATTTTTTAGATTTTTAGTAATTTTCATTTAATAAGTATGTGGCGGCCAGTCTATATCATATGTTGGTGTTAGGCCTCCGGTCCGTTGGTATGTATTTAGTTTAGCTTTGTAATAGAATGCATCCTTTCGTACTTCTGCTTCTATTATTTTGTCACTATTATCCGATGGATATCTCCTATTGTATAGGTATTGATCAGGTCCTTCTTTTATTATTCCTAATTCTGATAATTCTTTTTGAAATTTTAGGATGTTTAGGTATTTAGTGTTTTCATGTGCGTTTTAGAGTGTAAGTTCTTCTTTTTCTAGTAAAGGTATTTCTATTAATTCTAGGGTTTTAATTATCTGTTGTAATTGGTTATATCGTTTTCTTATTTCCTGTAATATTTTGATATCTGGCGGGTTAATTACTCTGTTGAGTACTTTTTTGTTATAAATTGGATTGTACGATCTTGGTATTTTGCCGTATATAATTATAGATTTATTATTTATTTCAATTAGTTCTTGCAGGAATGTAGGTGATGAGTCTTCCGCTTTTTGTTCTAAAGGTGTTGTAGTAATTAAATTTTCAGAAGTCATTAGAGTCGTATTGAGTATTCTGTTCTTTTGTAGGTTTTTCTATAAAATGTACTTTATTCCGGTAGTGTTGATAATAGTCTTCTTGTTTTATGTGATGGTAATATACTTCTTGAAATTCGTATCCTTCTTGTTCTTGGGGTATTTCTACATCTTCTTCGTCTGTATTTCTATAGTATCTGGGATTTTGTATAGTTGGTCTGTTTGTTCTTTCTGCGAATTGTAATTTGCCAGCGGTTGCGTATGATTTGTTTAATATGTTTTGTTATTTAGCTGCTTCAATATATGCTATTATTTCAGAGTGTGATTCATATTCGCTTCTAGCTATTTCTTCTTCTTGTAAGAATAGTTGTATAGTTATTATAAAGGTTTAGAGTATATTTGTTATTCCAAAGGTTATTTTTTCTTCTTTTTCTAATTAGTTCAGGTTTAATAGGAAGTTTTCTAAGTAGGTTTATATGCTTGTTAATTCTACAATTATATGTTCTTGTTTTATTCTTGGTAATTTGCTATAAGTAGTTTGGCTTCTTGTGATATATATTGATAAGAATATTAGGGCTTCAATTCCTTTGATCGTCACTCCTAGTCTGATATTATTAGTTGGATTTATTATAAAAATTAGATTTTGTAATGTTCTTTGAATATCGTTTTTGATATTGTAGGATTTTCTTTGTTGTAGAATATCTATTCTAAAGTGTTTCTTTCTTGGATTAAATTAATCGGTAGGGTAAGGTGTTCTATTTCTTACTGGTATTTTATGTTCAAATCTAAATTGTCCGTAATCGTTATATGTTGTTTTGTCTAATAATAATTCTACAAGATTTTCTAAGCTTCTTTCGTATGCTTCTAATAATTGTAATATTGATAACATTTATAAATTTATAATTAGATTTGATATTAGCCAAGTGTTGACTTGGTTTATTAGTTGTTCAATTTGTAGTACTGCTGATGGTAAGTCTAGTGGCCAATAATCAATATTATTTCTTTGTAAGTCTGGTAATTAGTCATTTGCAGGTGGTAGCCTTTTGTATTCTTTCAGATATATCCGTTGGTATATCTTCTTCTTGCAATCGAGTAGCTAAAGTTCTAATACTATTTTCTATTATATTTTGATAAAGTTGTTTATCTTCTTCCGTATGTACAGTTCTTCTAGTTGATAATGCTGCTTTAAATTGTGTGCAAATAGTTTTTATGCCTAAAATTCTAAAGTGCAGGTTGATCATCAATTAGAGGTGTAGTCAGTATTAAAGTATTTAGTTCTTCTTCAAGGTTAAAATAGTCTTGGTATGTTTCGCAGATATATAGTTTTGTTAAAACGTTTTGTTGGATATACTCTTTTGTTACTTTCTGCAGTTGTTTAATAAAGAATTGTATTTCTTGTACTAGCTCTACAAGTATTGTTGGATCTGCTGAATTATTATTTCCAAAAGTGGATAATTGAAATGTTGATGATTGGATTAGAATATTTAAGCGTGTTTCTACTTTTCTTGTTTGCAGGTTATATGTATAACTTATTTGGTTTGGAAATCTATGTTGAATTTTGCTTGCTATGTTTCTTGATATTACGCAAATTATTTGTTTTGTTTGATAATTCATAAAAGTATATTGTTGATTTCAGTGATTATTTCTAATACTTTTTCTTTTCGACTATTATATTCTTGGTTTATTAATTCTTTTAGTAGAGATGTAATATTTGTATATTTTGTTCTTGGTAGGTTGTCTAGTATTTGTTGTAATACTTCTTGTTGATTTTCTTCAATTGGTAGTTCAATTAGTTCAACTTGTTTATATTTGTGATATTGCGGTCTTAGTATATTATGTTCAGCTTTTAAGACTGTTTTTAGTATTTCAAAGTTTTTAAAGAATGAATATTCTTCTTCAAGTTGAGGATCTATTTTTTGAAAGTTTTGTAAATATGCTATTTGTACTTGTTCAGATATATCTGTATTTTTATTAATAAGGTAATTGTATATTTGTTGTTCAAAGTTTGGGCAATTATATTCTTTTATGTTGAGTTTCCAATATATAAATGCCAGTCCTTGTTTGTGTACTTCAATTATGTTACTATCTAATTGTGTTTGCAACTTTTCTGGTATCATTATTTTTTCTTTGAGTGTTTCAATTATATTTTTATATTGAAGTAGTATGTGCATTTAGTTCTCTAAGTTGTTTCCTTTCTTGGATATAGGTGTCTTTATTCTGGTTATACCGTAATATAATTTCTTGTGA